GGCGACTCGGGAGGGGGCGACTTGGGGGGAGGCGACCTGGGAGGAGGCGACTTGGGAGGGGGCGACTTGGGAGGAGGCGACTTGGGAGGAGGCGACTTGGGAGGAGGCGACTTGGGGGGAGGCGACTTGGGAGGAGGCGACTTGGGAGGAGGCGACTTGGGAGGAGGCGACTTGGAAGGAGGCGACTTGGGAGGAGGCGACTTGGGACCCGGCGGAGGCGAATCAGGCTTGGGACCCCCCGGAGGCGAAGGCGACTTGGGGCCCGAATCAGGCTCAAGCACAGCGGTGCCGCTATCTGCTGGCTGGTGGTGCGTCCTCCCCGTGACCCTGCCTTGCGATTTCAAGACAGTGTCGTTTGCCATGATGTCGCTCGGCGCAATTCACGGGACGATATAGGAGCGGTTCAACCGAGGTTCGACTTAGTAGTTGTGGAAACGCGACTAGTGAGGGGGTGAGTTCCGCACTACGGAGATTTCTCCGTACAGCGATATGATGTGGTAAACTTTGAAAAAACTAAGTTGGGTATAAGGCCTTCGCCTGCTAATGCCTCCGGTGGCGCGACTCTCAATCCTACTCTTCACCGTCGGTCAGAATCGCGGTCTGTGCAGCCTGGAGATGCTTCCGTTCGCAGTACTGTACTTTGAAACCGGCAATGCGGCGAATGGAGTTGTCTGAACGGAACTACTACCACAGGCGTTTTCAGAGACCTGAAGAAAAGTTTACGCAAGGAAAGGCACGGCGGTTGATGTGTTTACGACGAAGCTATTACGACAAGGCAATGCACGACGAGATTTCTGTTGCTAGTGGTTGTTATGCGCTTCTTCCTTTATTCAGAATGCGATTAACGAGGGCCGAAACCACATCGATCACAACTTCAGCGTGCAAGCAAACGCGGCCAGCTCAGACGTCCATCATCCTCCTAACGTGACTGACCCAACCTCACGACCAGTAAGTTAAAGAAAACGGCCCGGTAGAAATTCGCGGTCATCCCAAGCGCCAAACTCAATCTCCGGGATTGCTAGTAAACGCAAGCTTCACGGGCAGGGCCTTGTGTGTCAGCTTTGAGGAGTCTTCGGTTGCACTTATGTTCATCTAGGCTGTCTGCACCTTCTGGGCGGGGTTTCGGGGCCCTTCTGTGTGTGTCTGGGGAATTGGGAATTCCGGGAGTTTCATCGTTGGATTGGAATCTGAAAGTCTTGGCAGGGAAAGGCAACGGCGCGCGGGACGACGGGCGGAAACGGGATGCGGGAGTGGGCGCGCTGAATGCTCGCAATTGCTTCGCGGAAGGAGGAACGTTGAACCGTGGTCCGCGTTCGGAAAATAGTCAATGAACGCGCGAGATGACGCGGAGGGGACAGCAATTGGGGGGAGAGAGCCGTGGGGGAGGCTGGGGGAACTGCAGTGTGGAACTGGGGGGAAGGTGGAATGGAAACACGTTGAGGCGGACGAACCCAATGAAGGCGAGGCCGTGAAGTGTGCGGCAATGTAATTATTGGTGGCTCAGCGCGGTCCGGTAGCTTGAGTGACGTAACAAGAAGAAAAACGTTTATTTCCATTTGTTGGCTTACACATCAAATAGATTATTAAAGAACCAGCAATTTCCATTTTTTTTCCACAATACAATTCTCAAAAACTACACAAAAAACTGATGCTATGATAATCTGATGCTAAAAAATTACACAATAATATGATGCTCTAAAAGATTCCCAGACACTTGATTAAGTTTCAGGCTACAGAAAAGTATATTTAGATACAATATGTATTATCAATATATAATACACTATATCTCATACGATTAGAGTTTCTCCTAGGATTTAACGATTTAAAATCCGTCTTTATTGTTATCATCAAAGGGATATCTTTAGTTTTGCATAGCTCTCTTTTGCATATTAAGATAATTCATTTGTTTGATGTCATTTTCTCCCCTCAATGAGGGGATGATTTCGCCCCAGGTTGGTGTAAAGCAATAACCGTCGAAATGATGTTCTAGTTCCCCATTGGAAAGATTTGTGAAGATACGTTTCGTCGTCGTGCACACACCCAACCCCTGAAGGGCTCCTCTGTCCTGTCAAGCACCAGCCCAAAAGGCCCACCCGAGAAAAGGAAGACCATGCGCGGAAGTCCGGGTTGTGTGCGAGTTGTACGTGGACATTCTCGGGTTGATTATGACATATGGTCCCATACCACGGTGACAAATGAAAGCTGTCAAATTTCTGCTGGGAGTAGACGAAATTTTGAAGGGCAAAATACTAAAAACAAGAGTTTTCCGCTTCCAAGAGTGCCGGAAAATTTGATGTTTGTTTAAGTTTGTTTTGCGCTCTATGGGGTAATCTTACATCGCCAAAAAATGGCGGAAAATCTGAGGTGTGGCGTGTCTGCTGGTATATAGACAAGTGAATCTCTCAACTCTGGTGGTTCCATCCCCCACAAGTTATTTTCAACCAGTGCTTACCCAAAATAGATTCGATTTCGCAACCATCGGTGTTAGTCTATTTTGGTAGTTGTTGCGATGGACACGGCGTACCCGAATTGTGAAGCTTGTCAGTTGTTCTGGGAGGACACTGTACCGCCATGCGACTTTTTTTGCAATCTAGATCCCCACTCCACGAGGATGGATCTGTGCACTTTGCATGCGCATTCACCAACAGTGGCCTTTCGAGGTGTACAGTTCACGGTATTTCACGTGGTTTCCTGGAATCTGTAGGGGAAAATATGCCACAAGTAACCAACTTGGAACTCGATAACGTGAATGGTAAAAAAAAACGCGTACGGTCACTGTATCGGGTTTTCTGACGGGTTTGGTAAGCGGGGTCACGGATTCAGTCACTAACAACAGGTAAAAAATCACGCGAATGGTCACACATGTAACTCCCGCCAAAAAAACATGAAACTAAACAAAATTCCCGCTCGCGCCGAGCCAATCTGCGAACTTGTAAAAAAACTAAAACCCAATCGGAATCGGATACGGTTTGGGAACGGATCAACCCTAAACACCTGGCGAGTTACGTGTTTAGGGTTGATCATCCGAAAATGCATCCAGGTTCTTTCTGGGTTTCATTTTGTTTTGGCGGGAGTTTCATCTGTGACCATTCGCGTTTTTTTTTACCAGCTGATTGTGACTGATTCCGTGAAACGCTTTATCAGTCGCGTGAAAACACCCTTTGCAGTGACCGTACCCTTTATTTTTTTACCAAAAATGTTTTTGAGTCCCATGATGGTTACGAACGGCATACTTTCCCAATCTGTAGGGATGGAAAGTCTGAGCTGTGTGGAGGACGTTGGTTTGTGCGAACACCCCTTGGTCCACTATCTCGTTTTGTCTGGTTTCAGGGACTACTGTGCAGGTTGGTTTCAAAACACACCACCAGCTCTGCTCTGCTCTGCACCTCAATGCCCGCTTGGAGTCTTCCGAGGATCCTTTTCCGCGTCCAGGTGAGCTGGCGACTGTCCAGCCACGGCTGCAAGGGGATCACTTGCCTGAAAAACATCGCCTTTCATCTGTTCCCTCTTGTCCGTCTTGTCCCGTCCCGTTCCCCTTCAAGTCCTCCTGTCTTCTGAAGGCATTTTAAGGTTCAGTCTGGTGTGCAATGGTCCAATACGGTGAATTTTTTCAAACCGTTCCCAAACGTAAGTTGACCTACTGAACCGCGTCTCATTTTACAGTCACATCACAGACCAACTTTTCCCAATGGCATTCGATACCTCTAGTTGTGTCAGACGAGCTCCATGATTCAAATAATGGTTCTCCTGGCTCTACCTCCGCCTTCACCTCCGCATCTACCTCTGCCTTCACCCGGAGCCACTCGCTTGTCTTACGTAGCAGCGCAATTGTTCTGACGCTATTTCCGCTAAGAGGGAGGGTATGTTACTATCAGGATGAGAATGAGGTACCACTGCGATGCTGGTCACCTGAAGTGGTCAACTCCCATACTCTATGTCAGCTCTTCTACATGTAGTATCAAGCGTCAGACGAAGTAGCGGTTCGTGCGTCGTTTCCTCTCGCTTACGTCCCGTACGTATATGGACAAGTACGTTAAGATCAAACTCATAGGCGAGGGATCGCACGGGAAAGTGTATCTGGTTAAGGAGAAACCCGACGGCGAAGGATCCTCGAAGCATCAACAGGCCGTTCGCAGTCCGAGCGATAAAGTATGGGTGATGAAGGTCGTACCGTTGCCGTCGGATCCGAAAGAGCGAGAAGAATGCGTTCGAGAAGGATCGACCATGATGAAGCTCGGTCACCCCTGCATTGTCGGTTGCAAGGTACTTACCGTCTAAACTCGCCGTCTACCGAGAGCGTACTAGTTCTTCTTATCTCAGACCCGAGGCCGGTAAATTCAGCAGAATCTGAACGTCTGACCGACGTACGTCGTCATTTCTCCAGCTGCTGATAAGTTTCTCCTTTCTAATTTGGGTTTCTTCGTGTTACCCGGATGCTGCCTTTTCCGTCGCAGGAAGCGTTTATCGACCGCTCCAGCCGTGCCTTTTGCATTGGTGAGTACGGCACGCGTGAAAACGGTGCAATTTGGCACCACCGATTTACCGCGTCTCATCGAATCCGTTCACTTAGTGTGTTCCTCGTTCGTTCCCATGGCGACACTGTCGGAGAGCGTCGCAGAGGCGATTACGGAAGATCCCATCTCTCGTACTCTTTACAACTCGTGGTGTCAAGGGACCTTAGGGTTTGTATATATTGCGAGAATTCCGTTCCTTGCAGTTGAGGTGTCCAGGTTCGGCTGCTTTGCTTAAATTTTTTCGATTACATTCGCTAGTGAAGCCGTTGTGCTGGTCAGTTGAATGTGGCATTCTTTTAGAATAACTCGGGTTCCGCGTTAATTTTGTGACTACAACGAGCGGCACGCAGCAGCAGCACGGAGGAGCCTTCTCTCGCCATAGCAACACCTGTGCCTGTCTCACGCTTACTAGGACCAAACTCGTACCGTCATAATGATCCCTTACCGTCCCTGCCTTGGTGTTTGGTGCTTGGTTCATGCACAGTGATGGAGTATTGTCGCAAGGGTGAGCTGTGTCAGCACCTCAAGAAGCGCTCCAACATGGCAATGATGTGAGTGGTTGAATTCGGTTCTAGCAGGTCCGCGATGATGTTAGTGATGTGAGAGGCTGGTCCTTGCGTTTGAGGCGAATTCATTCGTCCAGTGTAGGCATCAGTTAACTCACGACGGTAGTTATGACGACGCGTCGTTTCGTCCTTTCGCACAGTTTCGCCATTTTTCGCTGCGTCGTCCATTCCGTTGTTTCTTCGTCGTTCTGATTGCTCCCTTCCGCCAGGATTCCCGAAGACACGATTCTCAACTGGTTCGTGCAGCTCGTGCTCGCGTTAGAGTACCTTCACCATAAGAACATTCTCCACCGAGACGTCAAGGTACTAAATCCCGCTCGTCTCCATCTCCCCCGTTCTATCGATTTTCCGTCTGCCTTGGCCCCCTCACAGCCCCCGCTCGTCCCCTCTTCCTCGCCTCACTTCGTCCCTCCGCTCCCTCCCAACCCAATTCTCCTCGCTAGCTCAAACACGCGGCTCGGTTACGCCTCCTCCCCCCCACCCTTCTCTCTCCAACTCCCACCCCACTTCCCCTGCGCCCTCCGGTCAGGCGGAGAACGTGTTTCTTCGCAGCCGTCACGACACGCCGCTGGGTAACGCGGCGACGGTGCAGCTGGGCGATTTCGGCATTTCGCGAATGCTGGAGGCCCACGAGGCGGTCGCGCGAAGCTTCGTGGGCACGCCGCTGTACATGTCGCCCGAGCTGATCCGGAACGAACCGTACGACCATAAGTCAGGTGAGCCGTTCGATCACGAGTCAGATGAGCCGTACGAAATTGAGTCAGATGAGCCGCACGACCCGGGTGTAAAGGCCTGATTCAACCTACCTGTTGGCACGTGTACTGTGCCCGGAAGTGTAGCCTAATATCTCCCCCTTGCCCCCTGCCCCGCCCCTTTGCAGATATATGGGCGCTGGGTTGCATCCTGTACGAGATGATGTGCTTCACTAAGCCCTTCCCCGCTACAAGCATACGCGACCTTGTTCTGCGAGTGCTCAAGAGCAACTACCGCCCTCCTCCCCACATGTAAGCTGTGTTTTATCTCTCGTTAATGTTTTCAGACTTCTTTCCTGTTCCAGATTCTCATACCTCTCTTCTCTGTCCCCGCATCCTTCCCCCATCCCTCCCCCTTCCGCTCCCCGGATCCCCCCGCCGCTCCACCGCAGATACTCCCCCGAGCTCTGTTTCCTGCTCACAAAGATGCTCTCGAAAGACGCATCGCGCCGCCCCACCGCGGCCGACATCCTCGCCTTCCCGCTGCTCCGCCCGCGCGCCGCCGCCTTCCTCGCGGCGTGCCAGCTGGCGGCGTCCGAAGCGGCGGAGACGCACGCGCAGCAGCAGCAGCTGGAGGAGCGCATGCAGCGCCAGCTGCAGCAGCCGCAGCAGAAGCAGCACCACCGGAACTATCAGCGCCGCGATAAAAACCAGGAGCAGCAGAAACAGCAGCAGCAGCAGCAGCAGGAAGGCTCATCCTCCTCCTCCCCATTCTCCTCTCCGTTTTCCTCCCCCCTGGCCTCCCCCCCGCCCTGCTCCTCCTCCGTCCCGACTTCCCCGCTGCACCAGCACCATTCCCCCAGCGCCGCGCGCGTCTTGGCCATTCACAGCGAGGTCGTGTTGCAGGCGCACCGCCTAGGGTTGCACGCTCCTCTCGAGCCCCTGCTCTCCCCTTCCGCGCGCGCGCGCGTAGCATCCGCGGAAGGCGCGCGCGCGGAGCGCCCGCGTGCGCCGGGTTCGCCCCGGCAGATGGCAGCAGCGGGGGCGGCGGAGATGCGCGGGGAGGCGGGGGCGGGCGGAGAGGGCTCGCTGTTCCGCGATTACGAGGCGAGCTTGAAGGTCCCCCCTCCTCAGGCAAGTCCTTTCAAATGTCCTGGTCCTCTCCGCTCCCTTCGTGTTTCTTTCCCCTCTTTCCCCTGTGTTGATCATCCTTCTCTTACCCCTCCTTCTCCACCCGCCCTACTCTCCCTCCAATTCTCCTCTTTCCCCCTCTCGCCCCCTTCAGAAGAGTTCCCAGAGCAATCGCTCACGAGCAACGTCAACCGACGGAGTCGTCACCCAAACCAACGCTTCAGCCTCGGGCTGCCCAACCAGCCCGTTCGCCTCGGCGGCGGCTCGGCGGCGATTCTCAGCCTCGGACACGGATAACCTGGTGCAGCGCGCCAATAGCCGCGGCCGGGGGAGCATCAGCGGGCGCATGGGGGACGGCGGGGGCGCGGGGGGGAGTGGCAGAAGCGGGGGCGGCGGAAGCAGGCGGGGGTCGCGGGAGCTGTCACTGGCGGAAGAGGATTTGCGCGCGCTAGAGGAGGGGATAGAGGAGGGGGGCGGGGACTTATCGGACGTGGTTCGCGGAGGGGCGACGGGGGAAACGAGTAGTGCGGGAACTGGCGGAAACTCGTCGCAGGAGAGTATACCATTAGGTGTAGAGCATCCCTACAGCGATAGAAACGCATCCGGGCGTTATAGCGCGGATGACTTCGCGTCTTATAACGGGGAAACCAGTGGCCGCTTCAGCGGGGAAAGTTCTAGGAGGTTTTCAGATTCCACTCCCCCGTTGCCCTCCGCCCCAGGGGCGCGGCTATCCCCCTCGGCGGAGACACGCGCGCTTGTAAATAGACCGCGGGGGAGGAGCATGAAGGAGCGGGATCCCGCGCATGGGGGGACCGCTGCGGAAGCAAGCGCGGAGCTAGGCATGCGCGCGCAATGCGGGGAGTGCGCAGACCTTGGGGAAGGAGCGGTGGAGGGGAGAGCGCCGGGAAGCAGCAGGGGTTACGCGGAACGGCGGGCAAGAGAGGGGCGCGCGCTGCAGAGGGGGCGCAGCGAGGGCGGGCGGATGGGGGAACACTTTCACGTGAGGGAGGGCGCGGGCATGGGGGAAGGCAGTAGGGAGGGCGCGGGCATGTGGGCCGAGGGGGAAGCGGAAAGGGAGGCGGCGGATAGGGAGGCGGCGGAAAGGGAAGCGGCGGATAGGGAAGCGGTTGAGAGGGAGGTGGCGGAGAGGGAAGCGGCGGAGAGGGAGGGGGCGGGGAGGGAGTGGGCGGAGAGGGAGCGGAGCGGGTGGCAGCAGGAGCGGCGGCGGCGGCGGTCCGCCCGCCGCATGCCCTCGTGGGACTGCGAGCGCCTCCCCGGAGTAGCCTTCCCCCGCCCCCCCCCGTCCTTCGAATCCACCCCCATCTCCATCAACTCCCGCACCCCCCACTCCCGCACCCCCTCCCTCACTCCCTCCCACTCCTCTTCCGTCTCCCCGTCCCGGTTCCCGTCCTCCTTCTCCCCCTCGTTCGGGCCCTCTCGCACGTCCTCTCGCACACGGTCGCACAGCAGCAGCAATGCGACTGACCAGTCGTTAGGGCAGTCGCCGCTGTGGACGCCCAGGCGAGTGGTGGAAGAGGCGAGTCGCCTGCTGGGGGGGCAGCGGGGGGAGGGGTTCGGGCTGGGCGCAGGCATGGGGTCGGGTATGGGGATGGGCATGGGGTCGGGTATGGGGATGGGCATGGGGTCGGGTATGGGGATGGGCATGGGCGCGGGGACGGGAATGGGGTATCACGGGAAGCAGCAGCACGGGCAGTTTCAGAAGCAGCAGCCGCAGCAGCTGCAGCGGCGGCGGCACCAGAAGCACCAGTCCGAGTCGTGTATAGACCTCCAGATAGGCCCAGGGGGAACCTATTCTGATCTTTCTCCCAATAGAGATGCTAGAGGGTACAGTCCGGGGGTCCCGTACGCGCGGGACAGGATGTGGTATGGCGAGGAGCGTAATATGGGGTACAGCCCGCCTGGAAGGGCCTTGAGCCCACCAGCAGCAGCTCAACAATTCCAGCAGAAGCAGCCGTTTGAGGGGAGGTCGCGGGTTCAATCCCTGGTGCCGTCATTCCCAAGCCGAGTCAGTGAGGGGGATGAGGACAAGAGCAGCAGCAGCGGCAAAACTCGTGCCAGTGCTGCTCGCACTGGCGTCGCTGGTGCCTCTTCTCCTCATGCCTCTGCCTCTGGAAACAGCACCCGCATTGCTGCTGCCGCTGTTGCTGCTGCTGCTGAAGCGCTTTCTGCACAGCCTACAAGCCCAACCACCAACCCCACAACCCCTATAATCCACTGCCCAAGTCCCACTAGCCCAACCAGCCAATGCGCTAGCCCCACCCCTGCTAGCCCCACAAGCCCCAACCCCACCAGTCCCACGAGTCCCACTGTGACGCGCTCTCTCCCCACGCGCAGCTCTGCCAGCTCTACAGACGCGGAGGCTGTGCTGTGCCGCGCCCTTGCCTCCATCCCCTCCCCCCCGGACAGCCCCTCCGCGCTCACCCTCATTCCGCCTCTCACTGCCTCCTCCTATAAACCTAACAAGGCAGCAGCAGCTGCTGCTGCTGCTCCTTCCGCTGATATTGCTCCCGCTCCAGTCCAGCCGCTGGGTCCCTCTGCCTCTGCCCCATCCCTTGCATTCAGAAACCCCTTGGCGGCGCTGCCCCCGCTGCCCTTCCCCTTCCGCCCATCCCCGCGCGCCCCTGCGCCCAGCTCCGCGCCCGCCTTTGCCACCGCCGCTGCTCTCATAGCTGTTGCCACTGGCATGCCGGATGGTGGCCGTATGGGCACGCCAGAGAGCCGTATGGGTATGTCAGAGGGCCGTATGGGTATGTCAGAAGGGCGGGTGGGCATCCCAGAAGCGACGTCAGTGGAGACTATCAGCAGCACTCTCAGCTCTGATACCGCTGCTGCCATTCCCCGCATGCAGCACGTGGCCGCTCTGCACCGCATTCAACACCAGCAACAGCAGCAGCAGCAGCAGCATGTGGGGAATCAGGGCAGGCAGAAGCCAGCAGCAGAGTCTTCCCTCAGTGCTGCCAGTGCCTCTGCCGGGGATACCTATGGCGCTGGTGCTGGCGCTGGTGCTGGTGCGGGCAGCAGCGGCGCCAACGCCTCTGTCTCCAGCTATGGCCGCAGCAGCAGCAGCAGCAGTAGCGGCACCCGCCCCACGTCGCCCCTCCGGTTTGGCGGGAGGCTGGCTGCGAAGCTGGCGGGTTCCTTCTCCTCCCTGGTTCCTAAATCTCCCAAGTCTCCCAAGTCGCCCAAGTCCTCCAGGTCTCCCAAATCTCCCAAGTTGCGGAGTCCCCGGAAGTTTGGAAGGAGATTCGGTGCAGTGACAGGAACTGAGGGGGCAGGCGGATCTGCAACAGCAGCAGCGGGGACAGCAGCAGCAGGAGGAGCAGCAGCAGGAGCAGCAGGAGCAGCAGCAGCAGGGCAAGGAAGAGGGTCGTCCTTGGTGGCAGCAGTGGCGCTAGGGGGTCACAAGAGCACCCCATCCTTGACCCTATCCACAGACGAAGGTCCCACTGCTGGCTCTGGGAATTTCAGCAGCGAGGGGACTATGAGCTGGGGCTCCCTCCTCTCATCCTCCTCCCTCATTGGCCGCTCCTTCTCCCTGCTCTCCCCGAGAAAAGGCCCCAAAATGCGCCGGGGAACCTGCCTTGTACCCTCGACATCGACACGGGAAGATGGGCAGGTGGAGGCGGCGGTTACTGGGGATAGTGACTTGAGTGGGATGTTGGGGGATAGTGAAGTGAGTGGGGTGTGTGGTGGGGATAGTGAGGTGAGCGGGGTGTGTGGTGGGGGGATGTCGCTAGAAGCCAGTTTGAGCCATGCAGGGCCGGATGTGCTGTTGGGTGTGAGGGATGCTGCTGAGGCAGCAGCAGGTGCAGCGGCAGGAGCAGGAAGAGCAGAAGCAGGCGTTGCAGAAGGGGCAGGAGTGGGAGTAGGGATGGGTGCAGCAGGCGAGGCAGGTGGTGCTGTAAAGGGGTGTTTGAATGACGGGGCTGAGGATGTGTTAATGGGCCACGTGCGTAGCAGGCTGCAGGCAGTGCAAGCAGGGCAAGCAGGAAAGGCAGGGCAAGCAGGAAAGGAAGGGCAAGCAGGAAAGGCAGGGCAAGCAGGAAAGGCAGGGCAAGCAGGAGAGGCAGGAAAGGCAGAGCAAGCAGGGCAGGGGGCACAAGCTGGGATGGCAGTACAGGCAGTGCAGGCGTGTAGGAGTGGGGAGGAGGCGAGCAACGAGGAAGAGAGTGGGAGGAAGTGGGCCCAGCAAGGCACTGCCGATCGCAGGCTAGCGCTGCAGGGACAGGGGAAGAGTGGCGCAGGTGGCGCAGGTGGGGCAGGTGGGGGAGGCGCAACAGGTGTGGCGGGCTGGGCAGGTATATCTGGTGGAGGTTTGACCCAGGCAGGTGCGAGCTGGACACAGCCCAATCCAGACAGAAAGCTCTCTAGCTCCCTCCACAGCCCCACACACTCTCCTACCGGTAATCCCAGAGGTGGTAACCGCGCTGCAGCAATGAATCGTAACAGTTCGAGCAAGTCACTGAAAGAGGAGGGTGTGTATCAGCGGGTGCTGGTTGGGTTGGAGATCCCAGAAGGGGACGAGGAGAGGGGAGGTGAGGGGGTGCCGGAGAGACCAGTGCTGGGTGTGGGGGGAATGCATGGGAGGGTATCTGTGGTTGGTGGTAGCGGTCAGCAAGGGGAAGCATGTGGGAATGCATATGGTGGTGGTGATGGTGATGGTGATGAGAATGGGAATGGTGATGGAGGGGGGTATGTAGAGCAGGAAAGTGATGGGGATTCAGCATCGTCGTCGTCATTCAGTCCGACAGTCCCTGCTACACTGACGTCGCCTATAGGGAGTTTGTTTCAAAGCAGGAGGAAGCATGAGCGCTTACCGAGGCGGTTACAGAGGAGGAAAACTGGCACCCCACGCTAGTGGCTGTTGACGAAAATCAAGTGTGGGTTAGGGCGTGTTCCTACAGCCCCTTATCAGGTGACCTCTTGTCAGACTTGTGCGGTTCAATGCGATTCAACGCGATCGAATTTTATTATGCGCGTTTCAGTGCGGTGCGACGCGAATCTGACAAGAGGTTCGCCTGATAAGAGGCCGTAGGAACACGCCCTTATATGGGTTCGGTAGGTTGCGCTCATTGTTTTGGTTTCATTATTTATTCGTTCATTTTTGTGCAAACGCATGTGAAAGGGTGCATTGAATGTCAAATGTAATTCTATGCTTGTAGGCTACAGTGAGTAGCACAATAGGGAGTACAGTTGTTAGGGTTGCATATTTGTACTCTCACACTTTCTAGTTTCGGACATTCCGTTGCATTCCTATTCTGAGATGGTATCACGAGTAGGTTAGATCCTCGTTCGTTTTTAGCTAGCCTCCGCGCCCTACGCGCCCTCCGTGCTCTCGCGCCCTCCGCGCCCTCCGCGCCCTCCTCGCGCCTAGCCCGCGCCCTCCCGCGCTGTCCAGCCTGTCGCGCGCCCTCCTTAGACCTCCGCGCGCCCTCCAAAACCGTCGTGCGCCCTCCTTAGACCGCCGCGCGCCCTCCTCAACCGTCGCGCGCCCTCCTCAACCGTCGCGCGCCCTCCTTAGACCGTCGCGTGCCCTCCCCTCCGCCTGTCGCGCGCCCTCCTCCGTCAACGCTTCCCGCACACCAGCGTGCGCTTACCGCACACCTGCGTGCACTTACCACACACCTGCGTGCGCTTACCGCACACCTGCGTGCACTTACCGCATCACTATGTGTGCGCTTCCCGCACACCTGCGTGCGCTTCCCGCACACCTGCGTGCACTTACCACACACCTGCGTGCACTCACCGCACGCCTGCGTGCGCTTACCGCACACCTGCGTACACTTACCGCACACCTGCGTGCGCTTACCGCACACTTGCGTACACTCACCGCATCACTCTGTGCGCTTACTGCATCTCTCTTCCCTTCACCTGTGCACCGGTCCCACGCCATTCATACTGCACTTGGCTCCCGGCTCAGCGGCTGGCAGCCGCTCTTCCCTCCGGTAGCGCCACCTAGGTTCGGTTAGAGCCCTGCCCCACGACTATTTTCTCGCCGACTGTCTCTCGTCGGTTTCCCCGCTGGCGTCCCTAGCCCTCCGTAGTTTTCCTCCTCGTTCTTAGCTCCGCCTCCGCCGTGCTCCAGTCGCCTCTAGCATGGGCTCCGCTATGGAGGCCCGTCGCCTCCGTTTCGATGCTGAGGGACGCCCGATCGAGTTCGGTACCTGGCAGCGCCAGACCACACGTTTCCTCACCAGCCAGCGTCAGGACGGCGCCACTCTGTGGGCCCACGCGTCGGGTGCTCTCGCGGCACCCCCGTCCCCCGCCGCCCTGCCGACCGCCCCGGAGCCGACTCCTACGGCCCAGGCGGACTACGACCGTCGGGTCCTGGCTCGGGACGTGTGGCTCTCTCGTGACGCGGCCGCCGCCCTCACGCTATCGGAGCTTCTCCCCCCGACTGAGGCCGCTCACTTTGACCAGGTGGAGACAGCCAAGGGGGTTTGGGATGCTATTGTGGCTCGCTATTCCACCCCCTCCTCCGCCTCCCTCAGTCGCCTCCTCATGCCGTTCGTGTTTCCCGACCTAGGCTCGTTTGCGACTGTTTCCGACCTAGTGACTCACCTCCGCTCGCTTGACGCCGGTTTTCGTTCGGCCTGTACCGACGCACAGCTCCTTGTTGCTCCCCCCCCCATATGGCTCACTGTGCACTGGTTAGTCACCCGCCTCCTTGACCGCCTTGCCACTGCCCGCGACGCGCTTCTTCAGCAGCACCCCACTGAACTCACTATAGACCTCCTTCAGACTGCTCTCGGGACCATCGAGAGCAGCCTCCTCACCGTTGCCTCCGCCACTGATGCGGTGGCCCCCCGTCTCTTTGCGGGGTGTGCCGCCCCTCAGCTTCCCACTTTCACCGCTACCCGCGCTTCTACTGCTGTGTCGGTCTCTGAGGACACTGCTGCCGTTTCTGCCGCAGACTGGCAGAAACGGGGCAAGAGTGGCAAGAAGGGCGGGAAGGGGGGAGGTGGGGGCGGAGGAGGTGGCGGTGGAGGGGGCGGTGGAGGTGGGAGCGGCGGTGGTGGTGGAGGCGGCGGCGGCGGCGGCGGCGGTGGTGCACCAGGGGGAGGGGGCCTTGGAGGAGGCGCAGGACAGACAGGTCCACCCACAGGTGGTGGCCCGACCGGTGGGGGTGCTGCCCCCCAGCAGCAGCAGCCACAGCAGCACCAGCCACAGCAGGGACAGCAGCAGCAGCAGGGACAGCAGCAGCAGCAGGCATTGCAGCAGTTCCAGCAGTGGGGGCCCCCGCTGCAGTGGGGTCCGCAGCAGCACTGGGGTCCCCCGCCGCAGTGGGGTCCGGGAGGCCCTGGGAGCACCGGCCGCAGCAGCAGCTCTTCCAGCTGGGCCCCTCGCCCCCCTCGCCGTGACGCTGGCCCCTGCACCCACTGGTGCCTCACCGGGCCGGGCAGCCCCTGTCTCTGTGGTCGCGACGACCACTCTGCCGCGCGGTGCTTCCGCCGCCTCGACGACCTCTACCGGGCTCGTTGGGGCCCCCTGGCGGTCACGCCTCGCTGGTCTCGTCTGTTAACCCGTAAGATTGATGTCTTTGATTTGTCCATGGACGATGCGCGTCAGCATGCTTTGTTTGCTGATGCTGACTTTAGTGCTGAGGGATCTGTGTGCTCGCGTGTTCGTAGTTTAGCCTGCTTGCCTCCTGCTAGTGTAGCCTTGTGCCTGCCTAGCTTAGGTGCTTGTGTTGCTGCTCTAGGTGCTTGTGTAGCGACTGGGTCAGGTGACCCTCCGGCTGAGGCCTCTCTGTCGTTCACACTGGACTCGGGCGCGTCTCAGTGCTTCTTCCGCGACCACACGACCCTTACGCCACTCCTCACTCCTGTGTCAGTGGCTCTGGCTCATCCTACCTCTGGACCAGCCGTTGCGCGTAGCTCCACCACCCTCCCGTGCCTTGTGGTCCCCTCTGGTGTCCTGCGCGGCCTCCACATCCCCTCGTTCACTTGGAACTTGGTGGGTGTTGGATACCTCCAGGACAGGGGGATCACGGTTACCTTCGTGGGGGTTGGGCGGACTGCAGTCTGTACAGACGCTACCACACGTGCTGTTCTGGCCACGTTCACCAGGGAGCCCCGCTCCGGTCTCTACGTTCTCCACACCGAGCGCTCCCCGGCCGCGTTCTCCCCTCAGGTCGTTGCGTCCCCTCCGGCCCAGATCCCCAGTCCAGTTGCGGTGTCTAGCCAGGTAGTCGTGTCCGGTCCGGTCGCTGTGTCCAGTCCAGTCGCTGCGTCTTGCTCCTGTCGCTCTCTAGCCCACCGCACCGTCCTGTGGCACCACCGCCTTGGCCACCCGTCGATCCCTCGCCTTCGTGGCATGCCCAGTCAGGGACTTGTCACAGGTCTCCCACACACCTTCCCGTCGCTCCCTCTCTCGCTTGCCCCTCCTTGCTCTCCTTGCGTCGCCGGTCGCTTACGCGCCACTCCCCACTCCTCCTCCCTTCGTCCGGCCACCGCTCCCTTCGAGACTCTCCACTTGGACGTCTGGGGCCCTGCCCCGACGCAGGGGTCTGGGAGGGAGCGTTACTTTCTGGTGGTCGTCGACGACTTCTCCAGGTACACCACAGTGTTCCCTCTTGCGAAGAAGTCCGAGGTGACTGCTACGCTGATCAGGTGGCTTCTAGCCACTGAGGGCACTCGTGGTCGTCGAGTCAGTAGTCTCCACTCCGACCGTGGGGGCGAGTTTCGCTCCGGCATTCTCGGCGGATTCTGCGGCGAACAGGGCATCACACAGTCCTGGACGCTGCCAGAGTCCCCACAGCAGAATGGGGTTGCTGAGCGCCGCATAGGGCTGGTCATGGACATCGCCCGCACGTCCATGATCCATGCCCGTGCGCCCCATTTTCTGTGGCCCCACGCGGTTCGCTACGCCGCACACCAGCTGAACCTCCAGCCGCGTGTCTCGCGGCCCGAGGCTTCACCGACCAGTCTTTGGACTGGTTCCCCTGGTGTTGGGTCGGCCTTTCGAGTCTGGGGCTGCCTTGCGCTTGTTCGCGACACCTCAGCGGACAAGCTCTCGGCACGCGCCGTCCCCTGTGTCTTCCTTGGTTTCCCAGTGGACTCTGCCGACTGGTCCTTTTACCACCCGCCCCTCCACCAGTTCCTAGACTCCCGTGACGTCCGGTTTGACGAGTCTGTGTCCTACTACACCCGGTACCCCTGTCGAGGTCTCCCGGTACCCCCTCCCCCCCTTTTCCTAGCACCCTCTCCTCCTCCTGCTCCTGCTCCTCCGGTACCCCCTCCCCCCCCTGGTCCTGCCCCGTCTGGTGTGTCCCACGCTACCCCTCTACCCTCGGTCGTGCGTCAGGTAGCGTCTCCCTCCCCGCAGTCCTCCTCACAGTCCCCTCAGCAGCCTTCGGCACTTCCGCGACAGGTTCCTGTGGACTTAGCTGGTGTTGGAGCTGTAGGTGCAGCCGCTGGCGGTGCGCGGTCTTGGGGTGCTCGTTTGCGGGGTGCTGGAGCTGGAGGGGCTGGCGCAGGTGGCGCTAGCTCTGGGGGTGCTGGAGCTGGGGATGCTGGAGTCGGAGGTGCTAGCACTGGAGGTGCTAGTTCTGGGGGTGCTGGAGTTGGGGGTCCTGACACTGGAGGTGTTGGTTCTGGGGGTGCTGAGTCTGAGGAGACTGGAGCTGGAGACCCTGGTTCTGCGGAGTCCACTCCGCCTCCCCACCGCCACGACACGCGTCTCTAGGCTGCCCGTCGGCGTGAGCGTGAGGAGCAGGAGCGGTTGGAGAGGGAGCGGCAGGAGTTGCGGGTGCTGGACCTTCTGGAGCAGCAGCGGCAGCAGCAGCAGCAGCAGCAGCAGCCGCAGCCGCCGCCGCAGCAGCCGGCGCCGCAGCCGCAGCAGCCGCAGCCGCCTCCG